ATCTCTGTATCAACATGCTTTTTCACAACACCGTGGCTATGAGAAGCATGTGAAAAGGACCCTAGTTTCTTGACCATCTTGCTAAAAGTTAAAAGACTACGTAACATAAAATATTTCATATTTGGTAACAAGAAAAGTTAAAAAAAAAACATTATTTTTTTCTAATGACCATAATCAATAAAGAAAGAGTTGAAATAATAAGTCGAAAATTACTGTACCTTTCATTTAAATGTAAACATTGCATATGCAAATTCCAGAAAATAAGACTTAATTGTACTTATCTAGTTTTAAAAGCAACTGACTTGTGTTTTGACTTTTTTGAGAAAGCATTCTGCAGTTTCTTAGAGTCTGAGATTCCAACATATTTTCTTAGAGGCAGTTCCTCTACCATACAAATACCAGATGCTTTCCCCATGTCTCTGTCCAAATATTTACGTATCCAATTACTGTTTAGATATTTCACTGTAGGGTTGGGACATCTTCAACCTTCACTACTTCTCGGCACTGTAATAGGCAGGAATAGCCACTTGATTCATTTATGTTACAAGTAAATGTATAATGGGATAAGGAGTGCAGAGAAGCGGGTCACAACAGGCACGTGTTTACAGGAAACAGAACACTCTCCACTGACAGCCTCAATCTTTCTTAGCAAAGTGTCTGCTAGAATTCCCTGATTAATGCCTAGTTGAAAAGCAGCAACCAGTAACATGCAAAGCTTTCACGTGCTTCAAACCCGCTCCAAAACTAGTCGCAGAACAAGGTGAATTTGTCATAAGGGCATAGGCTGGTGACCATAGCTTGTTATTACACAAACACACAAAGCAAAAAAAGAGAACATTTTAAATTTAAAAAAACATTTTGAAAATAAGATACACACAAAAGCATTTTAAATAGATTAAAACACATTTAAAAAAAAGACATGAAATCAAGCTGTTTACAGCACCTCACTACAGGATTGTGGGGATGGTTTGGGATTTTGATACTGGGTAAGGAAACACAGGAACTGTGCTATGATGGGGAACAGCAATCTCAGAAGCAGGCAATATTCACCTACAAGGGCAGTTAAAACAGTATAAAAAGACATGATGCATTTACAAATACTCAACACAATGCTTGTCAAGCCCAAGAGCAACCTCCAGGCTCAAATGACAATTGTTTCACAGAAATTTGATATGTTTCTGAAGACATTATTACTATTAGCATTGTCTAGCATCACAACAATGTAACCTCTGAAACATGTGACCTAGAGCTGCCTGTTGGTACAGTGGCAGATAAGTAACAGTACATGTTCCTTACTTAAAGAAACCCAGGTCTGGGTTTTCTAGCATAGTTGTGCATTGCAAGCCCATTATTGATGAAATATGGGCCTTCATTTTACACTTGTTAACTTGCAAACTATGTGTATGTGCAGTAACACACCACAAAGGAACGTCATAGTGTGAAGGGGACCTTAATATTTTGATCTGGTCTTGATCTGCGCTGGCCATGCGAGCTGTGGACTATGAGGACTTAGGAGGAGGATTCCCAAAATGGCAAGCAGTATTTTAAAGAAACCTTTAGCCTAATAAATCCTAGCTGCTTTGTTGTGTTTGCGATATTAGCAAATATGTTTTAAAGCAGTTCAGAGTTTAATAACTTGACAGCTCCTGGGAGTGTCAGAGGTTTCTGTGGCGGGCAATCTCATCTTCTCCCACCTCCAGTCCTGATGTCACCAGCAAGACGCCTTGTGCGATCTGAATGGAGCACGTCTGCCATTGGAGGCTTGCAGTGGATTATGCAAACAATCCAACCATCTGAAGTGCGTGAACTTTGTATTTAGCTATTTATCTGCAGTTTTACTTTCTACCCTCTTTATGGCAGTAAATAGCACTGATTTTGTAACAGATGCGTTCATAAGCCTATACTGAAGAAGTGATACGTTGCCTTGGCTGTATTGCACATCTTATTGCCACTTGCTAGCATGCTGCTAACATGCTGCTTTCCTTCCTTCCTTTTCATATATTTGGGACCTTATGTTATGGCATCCTTCCCTGCAGTTCTACTGGGCTTAGATTTTTTTTTTAATTGACTCCTTGTGCTTGTAACCTTATCCTAGCACTATTTATTTCTTCAAATAATCTTTTCTTAATATGTTAGGCAGGATACTTGGTGTTTGTATCATGTCCAATAAAAATGTAGTGTGAGGGTCTGCCTAACTAAACAGTTTTAATCTATATCTAATATATAGATATACAATATAAGCACAAGCCATCCACCATAGAGCCAGTAAATCCATATCTTGAACTGATGAGGGCTAAGAAGCCTGCAACAACTGTATGCAAGCTGGTAAAACTGGCTGTGTAAAATTGTGGTTATATTTGTGTTATATACCAGCAGTTCTGGATGCACAGATGGCTAAAAAGGGCACAAAAGAGTTATTTGCATGACACCTCCCACTTACCCTTAAGTAGAGCCTACGCATGTCCCAATACCACTTTATCAAGACCAAGTACAAGTACTTTCCCTCAGGTACTTGTTAATACCAATTACTGATACTTTTTCTTAAAGGGACATGTGACATTTTTTTCTAAAACAATACAGACTAATGATTATAGGGCAGTTTCTTTATAATTATGAAGAACTGTAACGAAATCCACGATTATTCGCCAATAGAGAATGGCAATCAGCTATAGAGGGCCACAAATCTCAGCAATCTAGGATTACCCAGCAATGGAGAATGACAACCAGCAATCATGAATTGCTGGGATTTGTAGTCCATTATAGCCGGTTGCCATTCTCTATTGTTGTATAATCATTGATCCCATCAATCCATGATTATACAGTAATTACACAGGGCTGTGTGCAGTTTCACCAGGGCTGCGTTTGGGTCTCACCAGGGCTGTATTTAGGTCTCACCAGGGCTGCATTTGGGTCTCACCAGGGCTGTGTGCTGTCTCACCATGGCTGCGTGCAGGTCTCACTAGGACTGCTTGGAGGTCTCACTAGGGCTGCTTGGAGGTCTCACCAGGGCTGCACCAGGCGGCGGTGCAGGTGGGTGCTGATCCAGGGCTTTGCGAGTGGGTGCCAGGCTCCAGGGCTGTATGGGCGGTGTGGGGCTGTCCTTTGCTGTGCCTATCTCTGTGGGCACCAGAAAGGAGAAGGAGGAGATATGGGGCCAGACAGGCACTGTCAAAGACAGCTGCCTGGGGTTCCGAACAGGCTGCCTGAGGTACCCAGTACCCAGCAAACTTCTTTAAAAATTTAAAGGGCCAGTATTGGCCTTTAGTATCGGAGCATTTTCACGAGTACAAGTACTGGTAAAAATGCCCTGTATCGGGACATCCCTAGTAGAGACTGAGCTCCTTTTTTTGCTGGAAGTAAGGACATGTTCTCTTACGAGAAGTCAATCCTGTATCTATCCTACCCTTCCCTCATGCCCTGGTTATAGGTGTAATCCTAGACTCTGACCCCTCCTTTCAGCCCAACATCCAGTCGCTGTCCAAATCTTGCCATCTTCACCTTCATAAAATTTTCAAAATATGCCCCATCAAAATATTAACAACCACTTACAAAGCCATCCATAACTGTGCCCCCAGCTACATCACCAACCTCATCTTAAAATATCTGCCAAACCATCCTCTCCACTTTTTCTAAGATGCCCTTCTCTCTAGCTCCCTTGTCAACTCCTCCCATGCTCCACTTCAGGATTTCTCCTGTCTCTAGAGGATGCTCTAAAACCCCCTATCCCAACCACTGCAGCGTTCTCCAATTCTGTCTGCCTTTAGGTGGTTCCTGAAAACTCATCTCTTCAGGGAATCCTATCCAGCCTCAACCTAACTACTGAGCTATTACTTTCTCAAGCAACTCATTCCCACACAGCTACCACCTTTTATATTACTTGCTCTCCCCTTATAGATTGTAAGCTCTCATGTGTCAGACTCTCTTGGAAACTGTTGGCACTATATAAATCTTGAAGAATAATACTAGTAATAATAACAACAATGACAACAATAACAATAATAATAATCTAATATATAGATATTTAAGGTAGGCACTCATACTACATAGATGTTGGTTTTTACTTTTCATTGCACTTATTTCTTCTGCTATTAGTGGCTACCAAGGTTCAATGAGGGGAATTTATGAAAACTGGAGCAGACAGAATCTGGAGCAGCTGCCCATGACCATCAATAAGCTTCTCTCTCATTTTCAAAGCTTAATGAACAAGAAGAGAAGGGAAAAGCTGAATGGTTGCTTGATTCAGTTTGATAAATTCCACCCAATATGTTTTGTTGCTTTAAAATACAACTTAGTATGATATTTGCATTAGCCCCACTGTGAGGCTGAAACAAGAAGAAAATTATATTTAAGACACATCACCACTAATGAAAAAAAAAGGCTAAACAATTCCACTTTTGTGTACTATGGTGTTTAATGGCGTGTACTGCTCCTTGAGAATAGATTTTCGTATTTTGTAACTATGTTTCATGGAGCCGACATAGACAGAACTATAGGTAATAGATAATGGCAGAAAGTGATTACGTTTTGTCTTTGAACCCAAAGCTTGTTATTATTCAAGTGTTAATGCATACACAGTCTGATAATCATATAAAATACTCAAAGCTGTTGCATTGCTTGTAGATATCAGGCTTGTTAAGTACAAATGCAATGAGTTTACTTGACTGACCAGTGTCCACTGGTTACCTAGAACCTGGTGTCCACTGACACCAGGTTCTAGGTACATTTTGAAAACAAGAGAAAGAAAGACTGCGCTCTCTATATAACCTTTTTCAAGATATATACAGATATACAGTACTCACAACATACACACACCTATATGTGCAGTATGTATACATACAAACTGTATTGTTTTCTATGGAATTTATTGCATTTAATTACCTAAGTAGTGTAACAAAACAATGTTTAAATCTTTCTGATGGGACTGTGGGACATTAAAGCTATTAGCACTGTTTTTCAATTATATCGCTTATGTGGTTTTTATTCTCAGAACAACAACATACTTCTTAGCATGACTCTCCCAAAGACTGTGTGGTCTCTGTCCAGGGTGCTGCAATTCCAGCGATGATGTCTGAACTGATGCTGGCACTCTCTGATCCACTCCTTGGCTCCCTCGCCAATGGCTTGCATAATGTCAGGGTGCTTTTGACACAGTTGCCTCTGTTTGTTCACAAGTCCTGGAATGTTATCACATATTACGCGTGCTCCAAGTGCACCAATGTACCTATAGAGAGGGAGCAAACACACATAGTTATGCTTCTGTTAATCATGATGTGATTTCTATTTTATAATTATATCTATATATCTATGTCATAGCCAAGCATACCGCCATCTTGCTATGTAGGGTTCTGCTTGTGAGATTCTGTGTTAATAATAATGATTTCATTGTTCATCCACAAACTTGGTGTTTTGGATTTCATTTGGATTTTACTACATGTGCTTTTGTTTCCATGTTTATTGCTTCTGCTTTCTAAAAATCCTTTATGTTTATGTTTGACTCAGTAGTACTTTAATATCCAGGATAAAATAAGAAAAGTAAAAATATTGGCAATTATTAGTAGTATTGCTATTGTTAGTAGTAATTTTGTATAGTATATAAGTATAGCAGTTTTAAATTAGCATAGGAATATGCAAATAATATTTTATGAATTTCCCTTATCAATATCCATTTTAAACAGTGGTATACAACACTAGAGAGCAAGCGGTCGGTAGCAGCTAATTACCCTACGAGCATGTTTCTGAATTTTGGAAAAAAACTGGAGTACCTGGAGCCTGGATGAATCCCACACAACCTCAGGGAGAACATATAAACTCCCTGTAAACTATGTACAAAATGGGATTCACAAGTAGGACCAAGATATGCAAGAGTGCTGCTACTAATAATAATAATAATAAGACACCATTGAAAGAATGAAAATGTAAAAGCAATGTTTTACTGAAGTCTTATAATCTCACGTTTGGCTCCGGCCACTTGCAGATTCAGATCAGCGTCCCTGGTTAACAGGTAACCAGGGACACCGTTCTGTCATTACACTGAGAACCCGGAGGAGCTGCAGTGATATCACAGCGGCTCCGCCGGGTTCTGTGTGTAATGACAGAACGGTGTCCCTGGTTACCAGGGACGCCGTTCTGACATTACACTGCGGCTCTGCCGGGTTCTGTGTGTAATGACAGATGGCGTCTCTGGTTACAGGTAACCAGGGACGACCATCTGTCATTACACTCAGAACCTGGCGGAGCCGCTGTAAAATCACTGCAGCTCCGACTGGTTCTCAGTGTGTAATGACAGATAGGCGTCCCTGGTTACCATGTAACCAGGGGCGCCCATCTGTCATTACGACGAGAGCTTAGGAGAGCCGGCAGTGATATGAAAGCCAACTCTGCTAAGCTCTCATCCTAATGACAGAACAGCGTCCGCTGGTTACTAAGTAACCAGCGGACGCTGTTCTGTCATTAGGATGAGAGCTTAGCAGAGTCGGCTTTAATATCCCCGCCGGAAACCAGCGGACGCTGTTCTGTCATTAGGATGAGAGCTTAGCAGAGTCGGCTTTCATATCCTCGCCGGCTCCGACAAGCTCTCATTATAATGACAGCTGGTCCCGGCCAATAGAAAACATTTGGGCGGAGCTAGCTGTCACTGCTTGCTCCGCCCAAATTTCGCTCAGGGGCATTCGGCTATTCACTCTTTGCTGTTTGGCATCTAAGAGAATAGGCCGAACAGCAGCGAGTAGCCTGCCGGAGGTTCGGCTCAGCCGATCCAGATGTCCAGAGTCAAAGTCCTTCTGCTGAGCATGTTTGGCCGACCCGAAGCCAGTCGCAGCAAGCCGATGTACGGCTGATTTTAGTCGGTGGCAGCTTTGTGAATAACCCCCTATATAATACATTGTTGGAGGCTTATTTCTTTAGCATTTTGAATGCACTTTCATAAAAGTTAAATATTTATAATTATTTTTCAGTTTATTTTTTCCAAGGTGCAGTAGCTAAAGGGAAAAAAAAATCTTCTTGTTACAGTCACATACTATAATCACTCGCAGTGCTACGCAGTCACATTTGCACTGGCGGCTACTATAAGTCATCATCAACTAGTTTGCAGTTGCAATTCTCTTGCTAATTGGCAGTGTTCATTACAGGTTATCACACATTTTCCCAGTTAGTGCCTTATGCAGTGATCATCATTTACTAAGAGTGCAGCTGCTCATTGGTAGTGTCACTATATTTTCCATTTAGTTATATAGGTTATGGTGCTTTGGCTAGATGTACTAAAAACTTTTACATCTCAGTTGCCATTCATGGACGCTAGCTTCTGCTGGAACTACCACTATAGTGAAGCTTTTTATATTCTTTATTGCTGGCTTCCCTGTTTGTGGCACTCTCATGCTACTGCTCCAATTTAAAAAACGAAGAACATCTTATTTTACTGATCCAACATCCATATGTTACAGAACAACACCAAAAGCATACTTTTATATAATTTTTCATCAGGACCTCTTTTATTTAAAGGATAAAACAGTGTGATGTCTTCATTGCTCCCTTCAGCAAATAGGGAGCGAACAAAAAGTGCATATAGACAATGTAAACCAGTGAATAATATTTTCTGCATTCACACCGGCAGCTGCACTGCAATGCACAGCTGCTGGTATGTGTTCCCAGGCATGTTGTGGATGGGCCGATTGTGGTGCATCACACTGTTTATTTTTTATATATTTTTTAAATCCCCCCCCCCCAGTTCACAAACACGTGCATGCCTTACGTGCATGTGTTTATTAGAATCAGATGGTGGGGGCTGTAGGGTATTTTTTTTCTACTTTTTATCACCTTTTTAAATTTGTCTTTCACTTAACTTTTGCCATCACAACCGGGTAACAAGGCCCTATGTGACAGCATTGGAGGTGACAGGCTCTCTTTATGGACACATCAGGGGTCAATAAGATCTTTAATTTCTCTCCTGCTCTCCAATACAGACCATAAAGCACAGGAATGTACTTGATAGTCTGTATGCCTGGTGCTGAGAGCAGCCCTTTATCCTTCAGTGATCACGGAGCATATCAGTTGCCCATTCTGCTCCCGCTCACCATCCTGACACTATGTGCTGTGGTCCTGAGCCCCCCCAGAAGAGCAGGGGACCATATCATATCACGGATCATATCAGTTGGCCATTCTGCTCCCGCTCACCATCCTGACACTATGTGCTGTGGTCCTGAGCCCCCCCAGAAGAGCAGGGGACCAGAAAACCATGTCGGCGGGGACTCTGTCACTCGTATTATCACGCAACTTACTGGGATGGACTTCAGGAATGAGCCGGCAGCCCTACTACTGCATATGGTGCCACTCTCAAAACGCAAATACAAAACATCTCTGTTACTACACCTGATAAATGCTGCTTGGACGTGCATTCCCCTATATTGGAAAAAAAAAGATCCACCTCTTAGCTTGTGGCTTTAGAGGGTTGATCACAATCGAAACATGGAAGAACTAACCGCTGCTCTTGATTACCCGGAGAATTATAAGAAAACCTGGTTCTTCTGGACTGACTTTTCTGTACTCCTCGGAGTACAGCAAATTGTTACACCCCAGTTGAGCATTATTCGGAGCTCTTATTCCGGTAGATTGCGAGTACCCACAAGGATTTATTCCGGTGTGTCCCTTCCCTGTCCCCCGCCCCCTCACATATTATGTGACCGCTTCCTCCCTCCTTCTCCCGCCCTATAATACCACCTTTTGCGGACCTCCTTAGCCTTCTCTTAGTATTAGTATTCTCCTCAAATTCTTATATTCTTTGGTTTCTTTTCCGATTGCAGCACTGTGAACTTACCTCCACGATTATGTAACGATGCTCAGTACAATTACTAATCATCTGGACAATGTCAGGTGCCCTGAGACGCAATAGTGCTATATGATAGAGTACCGTACGTTATATTGGGCATACCTCCACTAGTTCCGATCTGAGGTGTACTACTTAACATCATACGGCGCAATGCAGAGACCTATAGACAGATGGCTGTCGGCACGATATACCGGTTATGCCTATATTTAGCTTTCAGTTTTAGTATGGTATTAATGTGCTCTCAACTGTACTTTACCACCTACACATGCTGCTTTATACTCTGTAACTTGTTCTTCTTGTACTTTTATATACTTTTTGAAAAATAAAACAAAGAATTAATTTTTTTTAAAACACAGCGGTGGGGTGGTACGTAGGGAGGCAGCCGGTTGGTTAATACAAGTGATCTTGGTGGCTGTACATCTACCCTCACTTGTAGTTACATAGTTACATAGTATTTGAGGTTGAATGAAGACACAGGTCCATCAAGTTCAACCTATTGTGTGTATGTTTTGGATGTATGTAGTTGTAGCAGTCGGCCCTGCCTGATGTCATTGGTTGCCAGGAAGCCAATGGTTCTATCAGCCAATGACTAAAGCTGAAGGGGGCCTGTGCTGGCCCAGAATTGCCATTCAGTCCATGTCCAGACCGTGGTTCACCATTTAGTGACCCCTGGTGTAGACTATAAAGGTTTCTTAACTAAGGTAAGTTAAGGTAAGGTAGTAACTAAGGTTGTGAAGGTAATGAAAAAATAGTATGATAGTTTCAACGACTATGGCCACAACTGTGGCCTAAAGACTGTCAGAAAAAAATGTCTGAAAAAAAAAGTGTTCTAGGGCACAGAGGCCATCAATGTTTATATTGCAGAGCAGTATTTCTAAAACTGTAGTCAACTAACTGTTTCCTGGATGGTCCCTAATGATCCCTAACAATCGTTCCACCCTCTATTGAAGGATGTGCTATCATTGGTAGCAGCAGAGATTAACATCCACCTTTGATTGAAACTTTGTACAGACTAAGTGGAAGTAAATAGAGGTGATTCACTACATTTCTGACTTGTGCCTGAAGTGGACTACAGAACATTGTGTGTGATGTAGAGACTCTTAGGGTTTGTTCACACCAATCGCGGAGCAGATGCAGAACAAAGCAGTTAAAGAACGCATCAAAAATGCATCCAATGTATTCCAATGGTATTTTGGGCTCTAATCACACCACAACGTTCAGTTCCAGAGCTTGTGGAAAAACTGCAGCTTTCTGCTCTGGAATGCACCAAAATCCATGCAAACGCATCAAAAATGCACGAAAACACCCTGGAACGCACTGAAAGCCCATTTTAGGCTAAAACAAAATGGCCCGGAACGTGGCAAAAATGCGGCAACACACACTGCACTGCATGTGCAGAA